TGTTAACCACCAAAAAGCTAGAAGTTAAGCTGTGGCTCAAGTGCTTAAGTGCCAGTCTTGAGTGAAAAAGCTAAGAAACAGAGCCCTGGCCTTGAGTTCAAGCCCCAGTATCAGCACATACACACACACACACACACACACACACACACACACACACACACACACACGCATGCATGCACACTACAATGCTTGGGCTAAGGGTAGAGCTCAGTAATAGAGGGTTTGGCTAGCATGTGCAAAGTCCTGGAATCTATCTCCAGCACCACAAAAAGAAGGGCAGCTTTAGGGCTCCCAAAGGGAGGGGTCCTGAGCTAATAATTCCTTGCTTGTGTGTGGAGCTGTGGTCCTTGACGAGATGCTGACGTGACCAAATTTACCAAGCTGCACTGCTTCCCCCTGCTGGAGACGGCACTCTTCTTCCTAATGTCCTGGAGTACATTTCTCTTGGCAGAAGCCTGTGGATTTACAGGTGGGTTCTCTCTCTCCTCACTGAAGCTGGTACTGGATCCTAAGGGGGAAAGACTCTTTCTATAGCAGCTACATGGAGGTGATTAACTGCCCAACGAGTGTGTGCATGGAGGTTTGCAGAGCCAGGATAGTGTCCTGTCTTCATGAAACATTTAGCTTCGAAACACCTTCCTTTTTTTCTTTTGTGTTGGTTCTGGGGCTTGAACTCACGGCCTGGGCACTTTCCCTTAGCTTTTTTTGCTCAAGTATAGCACTCTACCACTTGAGCCACAGCTCTAATTCCAGCTTTTTTGTGGTTAATTGGAGGTAAGTATCTCACAGTCTTTGCTTTGAGATCATGGCTTTGAACCACGATCCTCAGATCTTGGCCTCATGAATAGTTAGGGTTACAGATGTGAGTTTTCCTGTTGTTTTAAAGATAACCTTTACTATTCCAAATTCACTTTTTTGTTCTTGCATCCTTATTCTAATTATAAATGTTTATTTGTCAGGGTTACTGAATATAGTTACATCTTAATTTGTATCCTCCCACAAGTTGTTATGTTACTTTACAAACACTAGAAATAACCCATAATGTGTGCCCTTTAAAGGTCTTTTTTTTTTTGCATGTACTCAGATGACATAGAGTGCAGCTTTTCATTGTTTTGTCTCTGGGCTAGTCAGTGTTTTTCAATACTATGCGTGTGCGTGCGTGCGTGCATGTGTGTGTGTGTGTGTGTGTGTGTGTGTGTGTGTGTGCATGCACACGCCAGTCCTGGGGCTTGAACTTTTTTGCTTGATAATAATGCTCTACACTAGTCTTGAGCTGAAGAGCTGAGGCACAGCGCCCAGGCCCAGAGTTCAAGCCCCATGACAGACCAAAAAAAAAAACAACAAAACAATAGTGCTCTACCACTTGAGCTAAAACTCCACTTCTGGCATTTTTTGGTGGTCAATTGGAGAGAAGAATCTCATGAACTTGCCCCCCCTCCCCTGCACCTCCCTGGGTTGGCTTCAAACCTTGAATCTCAGATCTCAGCCTCCTGAGTAGCTAGGATTACAAGCTTGAGCCACCTGTGCCTGGCAATACCATGCTTTTAAAGTGTCAGGTTCACATAGAAATGCTTGGAACCAGAAGTGTTTTGGATATCAGCTCTGTGATCTGCGTGTGTGTGTGTACATGTGCGTGCATGGGCATGGGCATGTGTATGTGTGCTAGGACTGGGGCTTGAACTCAGAAGTATTGTATTCTTGAAAGGCTTTTTTCCCTCAAGAATGGTGCCCTACCACATGAACCATACCTCTAGTTCAAGCTTTTTGCTGGTTAATTGGAGATAAGTGTCTCTCAGAATTGTTTTCTCAGACTGACTTTGAATCATAATCCTGAAATCTCTGCCTCCTGAGGAGCTAGGATTATAGTGCCTGACTTAAAAAAAAAATCTCTTCCTAGGTGTAGTAGCTGTCCTTTTCTGTGGAATCACGCAAGCTCATTATACCTACAACAATCTGTCTGTGGAATCAAGAAGTCGAACAAAACAGGTGAGGAGGGCCTTGGTGCTGACTGGTGGACTGGGCATGCACAATAAAAGAGCTCAGTGTTAATGGCATCCTCTTGTCTACTCTGTGCAGCTCTTTGAGGTGTTACACTTCCTGGCTGAGAACTTCATCTTCTCCTACATGGGCCTGGCACTGTTTACCTTTCAGAAACACGTTTTCAGCCCCATCTTTATCATCGGTGCTTTTGTATCCTTTTCTGGCTCTATGGTTTTCCACAGAGAAGCAAGCACTGCTGGAAAAGCTATGTTTCTCCTCCTCGTTATTTTTATTATTATTCCTGTCTTGGGTGAGTGACAAAACCAGTGCTAACTAGTTCATGATAGCTTTACAATGAGAAAGGGAAGCTTTGTGTGATGCTTCAGAAAGCTAATGCATTTGATTGTATTGAGTACATTTGAGGATTTAAAGGAATGCTGTTCATGCTCAGCCCATCTCTTCTACTTTTTAATGTTTGGCTATTGCTGTTTTACAGAGTTCCCTCCTGGGCAAATCTAAAAATCAGCAACTCTGTCAGTCCCCAGAATTCATGAACTGCTACCCAAGATGATCTCTGAGTTGGGCAACTGGGAGGTTCTATCTTTCTTGCTCTCAACTGCGCACTCAGTATGACTGCCCTTCATCATGGTGCCTAGGGATGCATGGGGTGCCTGTGGAAATTAACACTTCCAGCTGCCCTGTCCACTGCTATGGATCACAATGGGAAAGAATCCTTTATTTTTCAAAAAAAGAAAAGAAGGAAGGGAGGGAGGATAAGCAAAAGAAAAGAAAAAAAATATTTGATAGGCAGGAAAGATAAAGAAAGAAAGAGAAAAATATTTGGCTCTTGGACCTGGTCCCGTTGTGAATGCAGTTTTTAAAAAGGAGGCTTGGTTTTAGGGGTGGACTTCTGTTGAGGATGGAAGGATGAGTGCTGAGCAATGGATCAGTATCTGAGGGCTTAGCTAGCCTGGCCTTTGATACCATTATTGTCATTAAAGTGAACTTTCTAGGGCTTGATTTCAAGATCCTGCGCAGAAGTTCCCATTCCTTTTCACCAATTCTGGGGTCTCATGGGAATCCTTAGCTGTTGGAATGTTGGCCAAGAAGGAGTGTTTTTGTCTTTGGGGCTTTCCCATTCTTGCACAGAAATGGCTGGCCGTCATAAACTACCAGGCATTGCCAGGGTTGGCTTCCTTCTAGCTAGAGTGCCATATGTTTAAATGAATGGATTTGCACACTCGCCAGTCAAATGGCTCAGAATCTGCAGAGTTAATTGTTTTTCATCTTCATTCAGAAAGACCTGGCATGCTGTTCTGATTTATATTCCAAGCACAGCACCCTGGAAGTGATAGTGAGAGTATGGCCTTTGTTTACAGAGCAGGGCCTGCCCAGGGTTTGGGTTGAGCTGGGGTTCCCTTTGGGAATGCTTAAGGCTACTAACCACTTGTGGACTTCCTTTCACCTGTGGGATGCAGTGTGCTTTATAAGCATTACCTGTTGTCTTCTGTTAGAAACAAATATTATAAAATGAAAAATGTGAAGAAAATTTTTAAAGAGGAAAACAAGTCTGTACTCTTCTACCCTGGAGAAATTAGAAGATAGTTCAGCCCTGGTTTCTGTCTGAAACAGCTGGGCTCCTGCAGCTGGCACATTGCCTCAACGGAAGCTGCCTGTTCCTGTGGCTCCCATGGGGGTTTCCTTCTCTGAACAGGGGACTGTGCAGCTCTCTCTGTTGGGGCACTGTCTAAACTTGGCAAGTGAGAGATTACTGGTTTCCCTGAATTCTTTGTTGCCCACAGTCGAGTTCCTTTTCCATATCCTTCCTTTGCCATTTCTTACATCTCCAAAGGACATGTGAACTACTTAAGTAGACAAGTCTCCCTGGGTTGATTCTTGTCTCTTCATGGTGTGAATGCTTTGTTTCCCTAACTCTCATTTGCAGGCTGTTCCTGCACATTGGTGTCTCTGCGGTTTACTTGTAAGTGAAGCTTGCAAGCTCTTATTTAGGGTTTGACACCAGGTTTAGTCATTTTTCATTCTTGTGAGTTTTCTTCTAGTAGAGCTCAACACACTGGCTTTTCTCAGCTCCCACTGCTATGATGGAACTTTAGCTTATCTCTGGACTCATTGGACATTGAAGAGTTGGTCAATACCAGTTGAATTATGTCTAAAAGTACCATGTTTAATAAGCTAAAATTATCTTTGTGAACCAAGAAGTAGGGAAGTTGGCCAGATGATTCCCATTTTGTTGTTGAGAGGTTTTTGTCTAGAGGGAAACTTGATAGCCTGGCTTTTTTGGGTAGCTCTCTGAATCATAGCATTCCTAAAATTCCCTGGTCAACCCAGTGTCAGTGTGTCATGCCTATAATCCTAGCTATTAAGTAGGCTGAAATCTGAGGCTTGTAATTTGAAGCTAGCATGGGTAGGAAAGTCCTTGAGACTATTATCTCCACTAAAAGTTTTGAAGTAGAGGTGTGACTCAAATGGTAGAACAGTAGCTTTCAGTGAGAAAGGTAAAGGACAATACCCTGGCCCTGAGTTCAAGCCTCAGTATTGGTAAGCACGCGCACGTGCTTGCGTGTGTGTGTGTGTGTGTGTGTGTGTGTG